TTGCAGCCTGTATTCCGTGCCGCCCCGAGGGCAGGGGAAGGGAGGACGGATGGAAGGAAGGGACAAAGGCGGAAGGGAGGAGGAGGGAGAGTCTTGCTTGCAGCCTGTATTCCGTGCCGCCCCGAGGGCAGGGGAAGGGAGGACGGATGGAAGGAAGGGACAAAGGCGGAAGGGAGGAGGAGGGAGAGTCTTGCTTGCAGCCTGTATTCCGTGCCGCCCCGAGGGCAGGGGAAGGGAGGACGGATGGAGGGAAGGGACAAAGGGGGGAAGGGAGGAGGAGGGAGAGTCTTGCCTGCAGCCTCTATTCCGTGCCGCCCCGAGGGCAGGGGAAGGGAGGACGGATGGAGGGAAGGGACAAAGGGGGGAAGGGAGGAGGGAGGGAGCACGCGAGAGCGAGAGGGTGGCAGGATGCGGGGGCCAGGCGCAGGCGGAGCACGCGGCACCGCCGGGCAGGCAGAGCGGGCGGGCAGGCCCTGGCGGGCGGCTCGGGGAGGCGGCCCCGGGCGGCCAGGTCGAGCGGGCGGGCTGCCGAAGCGTTCGGGGGCGGAAAGGAGGGGGGTGATGACTAGGGGGGGGGGGGATATCATGGCGGGGGCCACGACGTTTCCCCAGATTTCATGGCGCCTCTTCTTAGTTCGTTGCGTCCCTGGCCTCCCCCCTGGGCCTCGCACGTGCCGCCGGTCACGATTTGCACCCCCCCCTCTTGGGCACCCCCCTCTTGGCCGCTCCCGAGGCGTGCGTCCTGCACGAATCGCGAGGGAGTTTCGAGCGGCACCGCGGTTCCCAAGCAGGTCGTGAGGGAAGCTGCAGCGAGAGCGCGGTTCCTGGGCGTCGAGGGTGCGGCGTCTGAGTATACACATTGCGAGGAGGTCCCACGCGGGTGCTCGATTTCAGCAAATACTTGTGAGGAAGTCCCGCGCGAGAGCGCGACTTTGGGAATACATCGTGAGGAAGTATCAGGCGGGAGCCGTTGTCGTTGTCGTCGTCGTCGTTGTCGTTGTTGTTGTAAACTCGGGGCCAGAGGCACAATTGTGAGACTCAGGATTTGGATTGATTAAAAACAGGGTGCGAGCCCCGGGAAGGGCATTTATTTCAATTGAAAAACCACACGATGCGCCTAGGAGGGGGTTTATTCCGCCTGATACTTCTTCACGGTGTATTGAAACATCGCGGTCTCTCGCGGGATTGCCTCACAAATAATGCGGTCCCTCGCGTTGGGATTATTCGCAATTTATTCAGACGAAACGCTTTGACACTCAGGAATTACTCTCGTTTTGGCTTTTCTCACGATTTGCTTGCCCCTTCCATCCGTCCTCTCTTCTTTTTTTCCGGGGTTTGGGATTCACGTTGCACAGCACGCGAGCGGGTAAGAGCGAACAGTCTTAAACTGATTGTTGTTGTTATTGTTGTTGTGGCTGTTGTCGTTGAAACCTCATTCTTGAAAAAAACGTATTGTTGGTTGATCCCACCCTCCCCACCGATGCACATTCCGTGTTTTCAGTCGAAGTGCCCCTTCGGGACGCGCAGTCCGTTTTTTCCCAACCATCCTGTGGTGTTGGGTCCTCGTTTTGAAGAGACGGTGCCCCGCGTCCTCTCCTCCTCCTCCTCTTCCCCCTCCTCCCTCCTCCCCCTCCTTGCCTCTGCTCTCGGCACACCTCTCACGCGCGTTTCGTAGCCCCATAGGGAGCTCCACCGAAGGCCCCAGTGGGGGTGTTCGCATGCGGTTCCCCCACCCAGGGCAGCGTTTCGTGGCCCCATAGGGAGCTCCACCGAAGGCCCCAGTGGGGGTGTTCGCATGCGGTTCCCCCACCCAGGGCAGCGTTTCGTAGCCCCATAGGGAGCTCCACCGAAGGCCCCAGTGGGGGTGTTCGCATGCGGTTCCCCCACCCAGGGCAGCGTTTCGTAGCCCCATAGGGAGCTCCACCGAAGGCCCCAGTGGGGGTGTTCGCATGCGGTTCCCCCACCCAGGGCAGCGTTTCGTGGCCCCATAGGGAGCTCCACCGAAGGCCCCAGTGGGGGTGTTCGCATGCGGTTCCCCCACCCAGGGCAGCGTTTCGTAGCCCCATAGGGAGCTCCACCGAAGGCCCCAGTGGGGGTGTTCGCATGCGGTTCCCCCACCCAGGGCAGCGTTTCGAGGCCCCATAGGGAGCTCCACCGAAGGCCCCAGTGGGGGTGTTCGCATGCGGTTCCCCCACCCAGGGCAGCGTTTCGTGGCCCCATAGGGAGCTCCACCGAAGGCCCCAGTGGGGGTGTTAGCATGCGGTTCCCCCACCCAGGGCAGCGTTTCGTGGCCCCATAGGGAGCTCCACCGAAGGCCCCAGTGGGGGTGTTCGCATGCGGTTCCCCCACCCAGGGCAGCGTTTCGTAGCCCCATAGGGAGCTCCACCGAAGGCCCCAGTGGGGGGGTTCGCAGGCGGTTCCCCCACCCAGGGCAGCGTTTCGTGGTCACCATAAGGGGGGATCCACGAAGGCCCCAGTGGCGCAGTCTCGCATGCGGTTC